CGGCATATCCATGGATCTCTTCAGTTCTGTGAGCCAGTCAGTCGTCCTGCATTCCCCTCAGTCTCCGCTCTACTAGGCGACGGCATCTGAAATGTGGGACGTGAATCACGTGTAGCCTATTCTTCTTGGAGAACATATAAGGGATTACTTCGCCGTTGTCATCGAACCAGTCCTTGTGCCGTTGATGTGCTCGACCGAGGACTTTCATGGCGGTGGTCTGGATGGTGTATCGAAACTTCCCTCACTGGTTCTCGCCTTCAGGATTCGAGTTCCTGCAAATGCTAAAATGCAATTGGCGGTCAGCCTTATGCAATGATGCAGCACCTAATCTATGCGGTGGTCAATTAGTTTGTGGTCGCCCGCGGGGTCTTAGTGACAGCCCAGTCTTTGAAATGACAGGATGGTCGTCCATCCAACAGGCGGCACCACACACTGCATAGGCACGAGCGCGTCACGTTGATAACAACTCCCGAGGAGGACGCAGTCAGGCAAATTTCAGTGGCTCAAGGCTGGGTGCATCCACGTCATCCCCTACCACACCAGAAGAGGGAAGAAAGTAGTAGTTGGAAGGAGGTTGTGTTCCACACAAGACTGCAGGGAAAAGGCTATAATTGTCGCATTTACAGTTTCCGCGGAGATTCAGCAGTACCTTCCAAATAGCCGACGTGGACGCCGAGGTCGCCAAAGACAGTCTATCTGTCTGCCTTCGGCACAGTCGTCAGGAGGGCATGAAGGTATCCAGCATTCCATCGCACTTTCCTTCGACTCCCGTTCCAGAAAAAGGCACACACAGCCCCACCTCCTCCAGGTGTCCTTGTTCGAAGAATCTAGTCTCGCTGAGTGTCCCGGCGTCCACGCTGCAACGTGCCAGTTCTCGGGTCACGACTTTTGTTTAGTATGAAGCCGACTTGAACTAGCCTGGGCTGCCAATGGAATTGTCTGTCTTCCTCTCCAGAGGACCTTTTGCTTAGAGAAGGGGAGACGGAGTTTGGGAAAGACGCTCGGGTGTGTAGGCATGCACACACCGGACAACCTCATCTGGTTTAGCCTGCCAGTCGGGATTGATTGGTGGGATGTGGCTGCCGTGCTGAGCACGGCTTTGTGGAACCACAGATGTGAGATGAATGTCATGACAGGGCGTAGCGGAAGTATTCACCAGGTTCATCGATGTGTTTTGGGAGGACCACGAGTACATTGCCTACCATCGTAAGTAAGTTTGCATTAACAGACCCGGATGGCGTCGCCTATGCTTCATCTTATTTCGTGGAAATCGCCCACAGTGTATCTGCGGAAGGGTAGCTCCATCAGTGTAAGATCACGCGGCGTTAATTCAACCACATCGGCGAACTTGAAGTGGCCATACGTCAACGATGTGGTTCATCGTCCAGGACATATCGTACACCCCATTTGTACACACAAAAAGCTATAGAAGCTCTGAAAACGGGAAAAGCTTAAGTTAGAAAGTTCTGCTTGAACTTAGAACCCGTCTGATACAAAATATTGTCTCCGTGGTTGGGGGCCACGGGTTCTGGTATTGCTTATAATTTGACTTCACCAGGGCAATATTTCCCATGACAATGTTGGCACGATCTGCCTTTGGAAGATTATTTTAGGATTTAAATCTCAGGTTTACTGATGCCCTGAAATGTAGTAGGCATCGTGCGTTTTAGTGGGATTTGTAAATTTTTCTATGTACTTTGCCTTTTTGCGTGCATTCAAGCAGGATCTGACCGACCGCTTTATAATTCCGCGTCAAGTACCCCGTCGACTTAGCCAATGGTAGACGCGCCTGCCGGCAGCGTTAACAATCAATATTCCTTTATTTCTGAAACAACAATGCGTCTTCATACTGACCCAACTGTGAAAAGTTCGGCGTCTCGGTGGGATTCGAACCCACGCAGTAAGGGGAGGCTTTAGTTGAGCCAACATGCCGAGTTTTTCACAGTTGGGTCAATATGAATTATTCAAAATCTGCCAAAATATCTATGAATTACTTGAGCCTGGTAGTCATCTGGTGGATTCTAGGTGAATTACTTAGGAAATCCTGCTTGGGCAGTCAACTTGCTGTATCATATTTGGTGGATTTCAGACGTTGCAGTAGGTTGGGCGGGTAACTTGACCCAAATGTGATTAAACTCGCGTCGTCCGGCGTGGCCTCATAGCACAAGTGGTTAGAGCGTTGGCGGTACTAAAGCCTTCCTCTTACTGCATGGATTCGAATTCCACCGAGGCGCCGAGTTTTTCACAGTTGGGTCAATATGAATTATTCAAAAGCTAGCAAAACATCTGTGAAAAATGGGTCTAATTTTCGGTGTGGACGATGTTTCCACTGCGATTGCTACTCTTCCATTACAAACATTCTGACCTCTTCGGTTGTATATTATGATTTTAAATTAAGTTTGTAGAGAGTGGATAGAAGTTGGACTGCCCGACGCAACCCAAGTGTCGGCTAGAATACGCAGGCTTTGTTTTGTCGAAAATTCCGCCCTAGGTTCTCTACAGGTGATGAACAGGTAACGAGCAACTAGTGAGAAAAGGAGTTACACTGGATAAAATGATGGCACTGAAATCGACATTCTAGGCTTCTTTACAAATGAAGGTCCTACATGGTCCGAGACTAGACCTGAAAGACCTGGACTAGCAACGGAATCGTCCACTCCGAAGGTGGTCGACGTCCATCTTCTTTTACCGGTACAACCCTTTTGCCTTCTCAGAGTTCACCGCCGTGCAAAAGCCTACGACATCCCTACTCTGGGAGACCATGAAACATGGAGTGAGTGGGCTCCGGTGTGCACTGAGGCCGGATTGACGGATGGCTTTGCATCATGTGCGATGCGGTAGAAGTCCCGCGTTTTCATCACAAGACGCAAAATATAAAGTACCAACTATTGCCCCTAGATTAACTCCATACCTACGAGTACTTAAATAGTGGGTCGGCTGGCTATTTCCTCGGAAAACATTTCCGTTGTGCATCCTGAGGTAAAATGATAGGAAAGCAATGCAACTCTACACAGTGGATTTCCTTATGTAAAAATATCACTGCCATTGCATAAAACGAGGGTTTCGATACAAGGAAGCTCAATTTTCAATTGTCAGTCAGTTCGCCAAAGTTACGCAGCTTGCCCTTGAGTCTTGTTCTCCTCAGGTTGGGCCTGTTTTCACGGTCAGGCCCCGGAATATAGATCTCCCGACACTACCGGTGGCCTTGTGCTAAATTCCAGGAGAATGTATTCTCATGTTTCAGCTATGGCTCTACTTCTAATCCACATTTTCTAACCGTAAGCACAACCCCCTGGACTTTAGAGCAAGACAACCTGTAATATGGGGAGCCCATATTCCCGAGCCCTACCTTGATTTCTTCCAATAAGGAAGATCGCAACTCGATGCCCTATCTTTTTGAATCACAAACAGCTTCCACCTTAAATAGAAGGGGGCGAGTGTCTGCACTGCAGAGCCAACTGACTATATTGGTAAAAATACGCCAATTCGTAAGCCGCGTCCCCCAACTGACTTCCTCCTTATCAGTCGTTCAAAGGCCACATATGGCTAAGGTATTCAGTCAGTTTGCCACTTTCCTACTATATCCAAAGTGTGCCTATTGATGAAGTCAAGTCAATGGATGTCGGCTGCTTCTTGCTGCTTCGGATGCTCAAGTATCAGGTGAAGGCTGCCTGTCTACAATCTTCCTAAATGCTTAAGACCCTATTTGGTCCTCCTTTTAAAGCAAATATTTTGGCTGGATTGTAACATCGGAGTTGCTCGTTAACTAGCTGATAAGTGTTATTTCTGGACACAAATTGCCCAGTCTTGTGCTCCTCAAGTATACTTCGTAGAGTCTAAAAGGTTCCCATATCATTGACAACCGTCGGTTTCTACCGATATTGCGACCAATAAACCATTTCAAGATAAGTGTCCCTGAGTGTACTGTGAAAATGGCGTTGGCGTTCAGGTTATAATGGATGCGTCGAACAATCCTCGGTACGGTTACTTAAAGACGAACTGTTGATTTATGACCAAAAATCAGCTTGGGGAGTTAGGGTTATAGTTGCCCCTTAAAACCCTTTTTCGCGAAGTTTTATCTAATTATTCAAAATTCTTCTGCATTTGTAACCGGTTTTTCTGTACTTCATGCGATGCAGGCATTTTTGTTGGTTTGCTATTTTGCCGGGTTTCATAAAAGTCAGCTCATATACGTTTAGCAATATCTTTTGTATTTTTACCCTTTCAGTCTGTTTTTCACTGTAGTCAATCAGGCAGAAGGTTTCAGTTTTCATGCCGATACCAACACCTCATTGTACCCCCAAACCAACTTAATCTTACTAGTTCCAAGTCGTCCTTTCTGTATAACTATTTCCGGACATGTAAACACGTATGCTTTTTCACCAGGCAAGAGCAACAAATTTCAAAAACCACTTTACGGTTTTCTCAAACAACTTTCATCAAACATGTAATTTATTGTCCCTATGGCGTTTAGTTCAAAATTTGGCGGTATACATGACTTTAAAGTGAAACCTTGTGATCTTTTCGTTGAAATTATGGTAGAATCAAAAACAACGTGTCATCTTTCTTTCTCATTCCTCCTGTATTTCAAGACCCAGCAAGTTTGCGAGACTGGATTAAAGTAATGAAGGTTAACCGCTTTCGTTTGGTGCATTTTGATATTCTAACTAGTCCAAAATAAGCTGGTGCACCGTGCGGAGTGATGCATATTCTGACTTCCTACAACACAGCGTTCTTGATAGGGAGTTAGCTATCTTCAAAAACCAGTAACTCTCTCGCGATACAGTCTCTCGAATTGAGTCACGTGGCAGTAGAATAGTGGGAGTATCACTTAGTCATTTGTCACGTCGAAAGTAGTGTTAAAGAGGACGACGAAACATATACAAAGCGATAATTCAACAGACTTCATCCCGACGTCTGTGTCCATGCATCGCCAACACGGTCTTCCTATCTCCCTAAGAATGCTTCTTATCAATGATGACTTATGATAAATGTCCTTACTAAGGGGACCACTCTTGGCGTGTGGGTGTCTGAACTGCAAAGTAAGCGGAGGAGGAGGAGGAGGAGGAGGAGAAGGAGGAGGAGGAGACAGAGGGGTCATAGCAGGCCACGAGGCAGTTCACACAAGCCCCAAATCCCCTCTCCACTGTACCCGGTAGCAGAAGTTGTCTGTAGTGGGCAGACAGTGCTGACGAACCTAAGGGTGCAGGCACAGAGAGCATCCACTCGATAATAATGACCTGCCAGTCTACCTACAGACCGCCGAGCAGACAAAGTGCGTGAGAAGGCAGCGAGGTAATAAGCTAATTAAACCCAGACAGTGTAGGTGTCATTTGATTAATGGCTTGTGTGAGTGAAGGGGTTTCTGACTTGGTCGAGCTAACTGCAGAATTTCCTCAAGACCTTTCCATCCTGTCCCGTATTGGCTGCATTTTTAGGTTCCAATTTCCCTTTTGGCTATGGTTAGCATTCGGACTAGGCCATGCAATGAAGAGCCTGCACCCCCGACGAAACGGCCCCAAGGTCCTGGAACTATAATGAGGATAGTCACCGTCAAACCTAAGACCGCTTTGTTTCTGTGAGTCTTCGGGTCGGTTGGATTTGAGCAAGCGATCTGAATCAACAGTTCGCACCTGAAGGCGACTCGGCAGTGTAACTTCAAGATCGCCGTTAGACTTAAGTTCCTCCAAAGAGACTGCATGTTTATTAGATATTCAGCAAGACTAACAGTTGGGGTAAGGTAACGGGAGAATACACATAAGTAATTGTTGTGCAGAACCTACCAACAAAGGGAGTATTTTTCAAGTTGCCAATTGGTGTCAAAGCGAGAGGCAGTATAAAGTGAGATAGCCATTTGCCGGGTGCAAGAACCCCAGAGCTTGTGGTTTACCGAGCCAATCAACAGGAAAGAACGTGCGTGAACGCCATTGACTACTACGCATCGCAAACTCCAAGCGCTACAGGTACATTAAAGGGTTAAAATTATCAGCGCTCATATGCAACCAACCAAGTCCTATCCTTCTAGCGACATTCACTCTTTTGAGTCAAATAGTCTACTGTGAGCCACTTCCTGCGACCGGAGCATGAAAGTTGATGTCATCTCAGACTGGCAGAGCTGAGAGCTCAGGACCGATAATTCGAGATATAAGAAGGGCCCACCGCCATTCTTACCGCCGCCGAAACCGGCATCACCATCAGCATCGACACTACCGTCACCATCCCCAGTTAACAAAAATATCATTTGCTTTGCTTATTTCATACAGAGTAGTTCTCTAGCTCAGGTAGATAACATTCTGACCAATAGCTAGCGCTAAAACTGTTAATTTAGAGTAGCTGTTTTCATTCTAAATTCTGTTAATAAAATAAAAAAATGCACTTGGTATTTGCTCCGGAGTGGCACAGAGTTCGATATGCTGGGAACATTTTGGGACACAGAGATCGAGTCGGCGGCCTGTTGAGCGGGACCCTTCGTCTTAACTGGAACAACACTGTCAGCCTGTATAACGCGAACCGAAATCTCTGTCTCCCCAGTAGAAAGCAGCACTTTTTCCAGTTAAGGCGCTCCCGCTTCATTTCAATTTTATGATTATGGAGTCATTGTTTGACCCAGAGGCAGATCAGTCGAATCTTCGGAAAGAATATATGCATTTTAATTTTGGTGTTCATTTGACCGTCTCATTTCTCTTCGGGTGTCGCCTGACTTACTTTTGTAATGCTATTTTTCAACGACCTACCGAGAAAGGAAATGAAAAAACCAATTCGGCTATATCACCCGTGCTAAAAGGCAAGCCCTTACTAAACTTTTTTGCAACCTCTCGAAGTACACACATTAAACTCGTTCACCTTCTACCTCAAACAGGGTTACTTAGCCTGGAAGCGATCGTTAGGCCTTGGATGTGAGCTGGCGCACTCGCTGGCATGCGTACCCATTCACAGTGTGAGAAACAGAAGGACATATCTCCTCTTTGGTGTCGCCTAGTGTACACAAGGTCTGTATATGCACTGGACGCACGATTTTTCAGATCTTTGTCCAGAGAGGCGTGGGGGGGGGGGCACTGCGAATGGGCGGATGGGTTATTTTTGGCGTTCTATTTCCCAGGCCCGTGCCTAAACACTAATTACACTCTGGCAGGCCTCTTTTAAGTCTCCCGCCTGTGAGTTTCGATGCCGCGACACACATTTATTGCTTCTCCGGCAGTTGGCCTTCCTTTGCAGTCTCCGGCGTGTGGAGGACGTCAGCAAGCCCGGCGGGCCTCCACTCATGCCTCGTGCACTCAGGAGTGGGAGAACGTAGGCAACTGCTCCCTCACAGCCGTCCCCACATGCAGCAAGTAGTTAACTGGTGGCGGCGATGGCGGTCCGGTTGATGGAAAGCAAAAGGCCTGCGCGACGGCCTAATTTCTTTTGTCTTGCAGACCGGAACCGATGAGCAATCATCACTAGGGGCAAAAATGGAGACTGAAACATCCGTTTCTACTTTATTTACCGTCATCGATCGTCCATCACTCAATTCTGGGTTAAGACGTCTGAAATTCGAGCCTAGTTCAAGTTGTCAGAAAACTAAGTCTTCTCTTGGCAGAAGTAGGTCTTGGTTCTGTCGGCCGCGATCGGTCATATTTGAAGTCACTCGTATGCAGTATTTATTGATGTGGCAAAATCGCAGGATGGCGGAGGGACTAGAAATGATCCTTTTTCCTTACTTGACTCTGTCAATAACGTTTCTATATTGGTGATTGCACATTGCTTTATGATCATTTGAAAGGACAAAACAGAACACACATATTAAATCCTATGGTCCGGCCTTATCGAGAAAAACAAATTTCACGTGTTAGGATAGTTCGGTATTCCCTTAGAAAAGAAGAGATTTAAAATCATAGGTCAAATCCCGACAGCATAAATGTTATAAATTTCACAGACCGAAGGGTAAGAACTTTCAGCCAATGAGAATGAAGAGTTCTTCTACTGATCTGGTTTCATGTAAAAGCCCGGTTTAAGTGGCGGGAAAAACAATTGCAAGTAAATTATTCCTAAAGCTTTTCCAGTTCGTTATCTAAAAGTGCTAACAATGAGCTGAGTGTGTGGACGGGAGGTCAGCTAGCCAGCTGCAAGTTTCTTTGATTTTGACATTTTACGGACTCTCGACAAAGTCGTGGACGAACATTATGGTAAATAAATTAAACGGATTGTAGTATGAAGTGAGAAACAATCACTTTGAATGCATGAAGCCTAATTCAGTAGACAGACACGACCTGTCATATCACGGGATTATCCAAAATACGAAATTCACTGTTCCATCAGGGCCGCATATTCCTTCGAGAAGTATGTCCACTTATAATTTGTTACATAGATGACGCAGAAATTGAATTTCCAACAAAAAACTCGCAAAAGAACTCTCCACCCTCTTACAGCCGTTTTACCCTAATTTCCAGGGAGACTGGGGTCATTGTCAAGGTAAGGGTTGAGTTTAAGTTGGGAGCAGAGTTAAGTTCAGGGTTAGGGTTTGGACAAGAGAGTATTTACCCCTTCCTGGAACGTTGCGCAAAGCCACTTGCATTATCGGGCGGGTAGACAACTTCTATTCCCAGTTCTTACAAAATTTTATTCAAGACAACTCATCAACCTCAAGCAAGCCGACCTCCCACTTTTTCCTGACCTCAAAGCATGATAGCTGGGGCCAGATGTAAATACGGTTTTCTTCACCGTCGCATCGCATTTAATTATATTCGTTTCACCTTGGTGCTCCACGTTGTGAGCAAGTGCCCTAATGAGTGGCTGGAGAAATTGACTGTTTCATCTGCAGATGCTGAACTCTCGCGGAATAGACGAACTCCGATGAATTGCCCAGTTTCGGTCAAGTTGCAGGAGTGCTTTACAAGAATTGGGAGAAATTTCCTCCGGCCAACATGGGCCTGCTCATAAAGTCGTTATGTCGACGAAACTTCTGCATTATTTGAGAAACTTGAAGAAGTATTTCCCGGGGACGAACTTGAAACAAGCATTGACAGCAGAATTTATTGGAACCAATAAAGTTGCCATTTTATTGATTAGTCTTCGTGCAGTATACGATGACCTTGCTGTTTTACATTGATTTTCTCTGTGAAAGTTCGAATCTCTGTATCTTTTTCATTTTTAATATGCGTTACGCAACGACAGTTGATAAACCATTGCTAAATTTATTGGTTCCAATAAAGTCTGCTGTCTATGCTTGCTTTAAACTTCTGCACCAATAAAAAGGGACACATCCCTCGTCAGCAGCCATCTCGAGATTGACGTTTACTTTGACAAATTATAACAGATGTGCTGACTCATTAAATGCTGACCTATGCGGTCTCCTCATAATAAGGTAGAGAAACATATGATTTTCCATACACGGAAAATATAAAACGTGCAGTTTGGAAACGCCGAATGCAAGTCTAACGGCATGTCGGCTTAAAAGCTATTCGGGAATTGAAAAAGTTTTTATAAAAAACCGAATTATACCCTTCCTCAAGCATAAAAGTTGAAAAACACGTAATTTTCTACAAAATAAATGAAAAAATGAATATTTTTATGCATGTTTTTTATTAAATATAATTGAATTCATAAGGGCATCGAACATCAACGTGAAGATTACATGTCACTTAAGTAGCCACTTTTGCCGAGTATAATCCTTGCAGACAGCCGAAAAGTAGTTCGTTCGAAAGTCAGCATCCTGAAGTAACTGAATTACCATGGGATTATGCTGCATGGTTATTAATATTACAACCTTATTTAAGTAATCTTTTTGAGTCGAAGACGTATTTCGGACTTTCGGCCAGCATTTGATGAGTTAGCACATCTACCGTAGATACCACAAATCATTCCTAGGCCGATGAATACACACTCACTCAGAGAAGGTGAAAACCAGAAGCCCGCCGATATCATGAAATTATCTTTCATACGCCCATAATATTTCCAAAGCAACAGACGAACTACTGTTTGATGAGGTTTACGTGTGGTTTCCTTGGAACCAAGCATACCTGGTTGTCGACCTTGTCCTGTGTGTCAGCCAAAAAGTCAAAATATCTTTACTACAATGAGCCAGATTGGATGAAGGTTGTAATCAAAGTTATAGGAACGTGAGTGCCGTGGGAAGGTTAAGATCTACCGAGAAGGATGTGGTGAACATTGGGATAAACTATCCTAAGTCATTGCCTACAACTCGAATAGGGGCCAGAACATCAAGTTCGCAGGCGCTGAAATAATTGGCCGAACTAGCAGCCAGAGAGTTTTGATACAAATGGACGACTAGGGTTCTGACTAAAATTCGCCAACTCTCTACACGGATCTCTATTCATATGCTGAGTCTGGCGAACGCATTTCCAGTCAGCTGAAAACGACTACTGGCTTGCCAAAACAGGCCGTTAGTAATGCCTACCCGTCCTAGATGCCGTATTCTGGTGTCATCTGGAATGCCGAAACGAACAAACTCTTTCCCCGATGAAATGTAATCGACTTCCGTTTTAGGTATAACACTAAACCCCTGAAACTCGACTAATTCTCAGCAAGTTTAATAAGTACTGGAAAAAATATGTGAACTGATATGACTGTTATTCGTGGTACTAAACTCCTGCGCACACTGGGATGCTATAGTATTCAAACTGCTGACTGTGTGTGGCTCACTTACCAGGTTACCGCCGACCGCACATCAAGCGGTCGACCATAGTTTAAGTACACATCGTAAAAATCCCCACTCCTCTTGCTACTGGACGTGGACAGTTCACCACTACTTCGCCTCCAACTCGTCTTTCTTAGCAACCGTGCAGCACAGTCGAAGGAAGCACGGAATATCGTGGTAATACGAGGAAAATACTTTGCCAACTTATGATTTCTGGAAACCTTCTATGAGTATGCCCCATGAGACAGTGGCGGAAGTCCAACGTTCAATTTGCCTTCAAAGATGCCAGTAGCCTTTATCTACTACAGCGTTACGAATTGTGTGCTATAAGTACGCATTTTAAAGTTCAGAATATAGACGGTTAGAACAGTTGGATGGAGTACTTACCATTGGCAGAGATAGCATAAATCGGAAGCAAACTCAAATAAGCTTGATTATATAGTTTGACAGTGTACGCTCGAAGTTGCTGTTCTGCTCAATATTCCTTGGGTACACCGAAATTCTCTCTCGAGACCGACTTGTCACAGTTGATAGAAACTTGTGCCGAATGTTCTATTATAATGCGATTAATTCGCCTAGCGTTGCATTTCTTCAGAATGGAACAGGGGAAGAACAGGATGCCCAGTCAACTGCTCTTCAACCCTGGTTGCTGTAGAGGTGTCGGAAAGTCTTTGAAGAACATTCATCAAGTGCTCCAGTTTAGGCCAGGTGCGTGTTGTGATTTCTTGGCTATTTGTGTTGCCACCGTTCAAGGTTTTTTAAATGCTGAACTTATGCCGAAACTGTGTTGAAGTCCATGAGACGGAAGTCAAGTAAATGAAGCGCACAACAAACCTATGACCTGTTGGAGGGCATCGATCGGGCCAGCTTCCGAACCCATTCGCTTTGTTTTTAATGAACTGATGTCTATGAGTGCGCCTACGTCGGTCGGATGTGCAGGCTGTGTACTCCTAGCTACACTCGTATCCCCTGTCGTCGTCGAAATGCGTGAAAT